CCCCTTCATGGGGTAACGCTCAGTAAGCTGACGGTTTTCGAAGGCATGCCTTCTTTCGAGTAATGGATGAGAGTGTTGCCCCTTTTTTCCCAAATGACTAAAATTTGGCCCCTTTTAGTCATTTTGTATAAGGGAGCAAACATTCTTAAAAAATTTGTTACGGGGGTAATGTGAAAGGTTTGGGCGCCTTTTTTGGGCCCTAGAGCGCAGGAGAAATCGCATCTGGTCTATGGAAAAAAACAGATATTCCTGCAATGGTGTGTGCATGAATCTGCAGTATTTAATTATACATTGCTTTTATATTTATGCTGATCATAGAAACCAATGTATGCAGGAGAGCTCCTAAGCCAATGATGTTTGGTCTCAAACCCACCCCCTAGTAAGCTGTAGCTAGAACAATTGATTGCTGAAATGATTCTAATCCGACAGTAGCCATCAATTGGCACATTTAGAATTTTCAGGAACATAACGGAAACGGAGAGTCCAAAGATGGTTTGTATGCATAGCCCTACCCACTTACAATCTCTATTTTTATAGCATGAATGTGTATGTATAGAGGGAGGTAAAAATGAGAGGCAGACAACATATCTAGATTTAAAGTTGTTGTAAAGGCTGCATTCTATGCATGAAGTTAAAATATTTGTATGCTGCTCTCCTTACAACCCCCCTAATACTCACCTGAGCCCTCTTTCGATCCAACAATGTGCATGGGAGGCTCAGCTCTCCCAGGTCTCTCACTCCTCATTGACTGAGACAGCAGCAGGAGCAATTGGCTCCTGGTTCTGTCAATCACAGCCAGTAAGCCAATGAGGAGAGCAGGGGGCAGGGCCGAGTCAGGCTCTGTTTGTGTAGGGACAGTCAGAGCAGTGGCTCAGGAGGGAGCCTACTTGGGTGCCCCCATAGCAAGCTGCTTACTCTAGGGTCTCGCTCTCATTGCTGAGACAGCATTGGCTCCCACTGCTGTCAAACACAGCCAGTGAAGAGAGAGGGTGGGGCCAAGCCAGGCCAACCAAGCTCTGTGTCCTATGGACGCATAGAGCGTAGCTTGGGAGTGAGCATGCACCTTGCTATTGGTTGACACTGGTCAAGGGGGAGGAGCCGGGAGCGCCAGCGGGGGGCCCAAGAAGAAGAGGTAAAACCATTGCAGAGCGGGTAAGTATGACATGTTTGTTATTTAACCACTTGCCTACTGGGCACTTATACCCCCTTCCTGCCCAGGCCAATTTTCAGCTTTCAGTGTTGTCGCAATTTGAATTGCACGGTCATGCAACACTGTACCCATAGGAAATTTTTATCATTTTTTACATGCAAATAGAGCTTTCTTTTGGTGGTATGTACTCACCGCTAGGTGATTTATTTTTTGCACTATAAACAAAAAAAGAGCAAAAAAAAAAACAAAAAAAAGTTTTTCTTTGTTTCTATTATAACATTTTGCAAACAGGTAATTTTTCTCCTTCACTGATGTGCGTTGATGAGGCTGCACTGATGGGCACTGATAGGTAGCACAGATAGGCGGCACTGCAGGGCAGCACTGATGGGCGGCACAGGTGGGTGGCATTGCAGGGCACAGGTGGGTGGCACTGATGGGCACATGTGGGTGGCACAGGTGGGTGGCACTGCTGTGCACTGATCATCAGTGCCGATCACTTCGCTGACAATTGCCGATTCTCAGCAGTACTGTCCTCATGCTGTGACAGCGTGAGGAAAGTGCAGCCGATAACCAGCAACTGTATTTACTGGTGTTCTGCTGTGTCATTGGACACAGCTGATCATGTCATAAAAGGCTGCCGTGATTGGCTGTTTTACCGTATCACGTGACCAGCTTTGTCCGTAGGACAGAGCGATCACTGGCAGCGCTGGGGGTGTGTTCTGGAATGAAATCCATGGATGTTGTTCCAGAACTAGACAACTGCGCTGTAGCTGTCCTTCGGCTATAGCGCGGCTGGGAACTAGTTAAAAAGACAAACAAACCTTTACTATCCCTTTACAGCCAGCAGCAGTTTTCCCCACACTGGTTACCTTGTTTTCTGGGGTTCGTCTGGCCCCGACATCAATGTCTGTTCTGCAGTATAAATGATCTGTTTTTGTTTTGCTTTACAGATGCGATGAGTATGTCACACAACTTGATGAAATGCAGAGGCAGCTGGCAGCGGCAGAAGATGAGAAGAAGACTTTGAACTCGTTGCTTCGAATGGCCATCCAGCAGAAGCTGGCATTGACGCAGCGCTTGGAGCACCTGGAACTCGACCACGAGCAGGCCAAGCGCGTGCGCACTAAATCTACGTCCAAAAACAAAACCAGTAACCCCAGTGTAAGTCACGTCCGCTCTTGCGCGGACAAGTCTGAGGGGTCTGTCCTCAACAACCAGGTGTTTTGCAGTGAAAAGTATAAGATCTGTTGTGACTAGAAGGAGGCATGACTTTTGTATTTTTCCCCTGCTTGGATAGTCCGCATGAAGTCGCTACAGTACTGCAGCCACTTAACTCGTGCTGGTTCGTTGTTGACCTGTGTATGCAAATGGAATTATTAAGCTGAGCTTGATTATAACTAACACTTGTATGGGGCTCTTGCAGCAAGTTAACATGGGAAGGAGTCCGAGCAGCACTTCCGAGGTTAACCTGTGAGGCATGTGTTTGCTTTGTGGGAACAAATACCAAACTGAAGCCATAATCACTGCACCGGATTGTACGGGCACATGTGTATTCAGTGTCCTAACACTAAACGCCTAAAATCTAGAAAACTGAAATTGGATTCATGACACAGGTGGGCTTTAAATTAATAAATGGAGTTCAGTTTTCGCATCTAAAAACAGTGGGACTGGTGTATAAATGTACCTGAAAGAGGACCTGTCACAGCAACCCTTTCATATACTAGAAAAGGGTCAGCTGCAGTGTCTTTGCTCAGCCAATCATATGCACTAGGCTCACCAATTGTGCAAACTTGGAAGAGATATCTGTAGTATAACAAGTACCAGTGATTAACAGCTTCAGTGAAGTGTGTGTTCTCTGATCTTGGGCTTTACCAGGTCTGTAATGGCCGGTACCCTGTTGTATCGCATGCGTCGATCTTTGTATCTTGCATAGCACAAATAGGCCTCTGCTTAAGGTGATAGCAATGTTCATGTATATTTAGAAGTCCAGAATAGCTGTTAAGTAGCAAGGCCTTGTAAAGGATTTTTGGATATTTGATATGAAATAGGAGGTTTTTCAGTTTATCGGCTTGCAATCGCTTTACATTTAGCTTCTTTCTCTCACAAGCAAATAGTATTGGCCAAAATACAAGCTATGCTATTCAGCATTCATAAGCCTGTCACACAGACTAAATAGGATACAGGTGTAAGAATCGGCTTCTTTAATAAAGCAGTTCAAAATGACAACCGCCAATCAGAATTCACCAGTCACTGAACTGAAGTCTGCTTGATATGGGTTTGTTTCCCATTGCATAACATCATGGTTGTCTGCACCGTCTTATTAATTAAGCCTGTCTGTATCCAGTTTATGGTTGACTTTCACAAGTATTAAGATACTCACAGTATCCAAATATTAACCTGGGCTTCAGAAATACTTGATTCTACTCCTGTAAGTGGAGAAGAGACCAAAAAACCTGAATATTGCTGTAGAAATGGACACCTCGGCGGTATCAACAGCATCTGGAAGTGTCCAACCTTTTCTACATTGCAAGATAATATTAAGCATTCATGGCAAAGTTAAACGCCAGCTACTTCTGCATAATACTATTATTATTATTATTCTATATTATCATAGAATACAGTTGAGTTTGTTTTAATAAACAGGCTTTACATATGCAAGCACACAGTGTAACAGGGCTCTACAGTAGAGAAATGCTGCCCCCTATGGGTCACCGCATAAATTGACAACCGTGATGCGCTAATTGGAACTGTACATTTGTCGAACTTCAGTTCTATTAAAGCAAAAAAAAAAAAAAAGTATTTTCTTTTAGGAATTGTGCCAGTACAAAAAAAAGGCTGACATTGGATGATGGAAGGTATTAAAGGCACAATAGCCTGTTAAAAACAAAACAATGAAAGTGCCTGCTTTAAATACTATTGTATAGCCCTGTTCATCCTGTACTTTTCATAGTAATTTTGTAGCTTCCCAGGGCAGATCATGTAAGAATGGGATCTGCTCCTCCTCTTTGTGTCTATAACACTCCCAGCCTAGTCTTTCTGTCTGCCTGCTGTTTTCTATATCCAGTGACCCTGGCAATGCTTCATCCCCTGTCACTGCCATTCCTTATAGATAATCAGCACCCTGCTCCCTGTGTCCAGGAACTCTGTCACTAAGTAGTCAGGACAAGCCCTCATTGTTACTGGAAGGTAATCGTGAGCTCGCTGCCTGCTTTCTGAGTGGAAGAAGTGCATGCTAACAGGATTGCAGTTTTGCCCACTAACAGTGTGTTAGGCTGGCCATACACTATACAAATCTCTTTAGAAAATTGCTTTAGATTTACCAAAAACCATATAATATGAGGTCAAACCTAAACAACACTTTCAATTCTATCCAATTAAGCAGGCCCTTGCACTACTTAGTTGACCGTAAATCTAAAAGAAATTGGGCAGAAATTTAAACAGAAAATTGTATAGTGTATGGCCAGCCTTAGACATCACTTGGCTACTGAAAAGTGTGTGGGCAAGTCACAGAGCACTTTGCAAACAACATTATTATTTTTTTTTTAATTATTATTTTACCAGTCAATGCAGCAAAGCGGAATCTGCACATTTATGTTTTAGCCAGTAAGTGCACAAAAGGAAAACTCAACATTTAGGGAAAAAGTCTGTAGAATTAAATTTGCACAATAGGGCATAATGACACATATTTCTGACCGCTTTCATTTCCACATAAATAGTTACTTATTTGGGGGCTTGCTTTTGCTAAAATCTTTTCCTTTTTTTTTCCCCCTAAAATATGGTTGTATTCTGCAAACAGAATATATTCAGCACGAGCAGATCTGCTCTTCTTTTTCTACCGTTGTCTTCTTTGGTGATAGTTGTTCTATGGCCTAATAATTCTAATATGATGGCTATGGCACTTCAGAGAGAGAGAGATAATCTCAAGTACCACATTTATAAGGAAAGTAAATCTCAGTGTCTTGATTTTTTTATCTTTTTTTTTTTTAATATATGTATTCTACGTTTTTTTTTTTTTCTTTTAATAGAAAGGAACTGGTAGCCTATAGTTTTTGTTTGGGTGCTATAATTTTTACCCAAGTAAAACTGTGCAAAGCTCTGATTTTTTTTTTTTTTTTTCTTTTTTTAAAAACTGTAAAAGTTTTGTTTCCTTAATCAGTAGACATACTGATATTGAATATTGATAGATCTAATGATTCCAGCACTGTGAAAATCCCCTTTTAAGCCTAATGATTATGGAATTCTTGTATTTTAATATAGAAATGTTTTGGTTTTTTTTTTTGTTGTTTTGTTTTTTTTAAATAATTAGCTATTTTATTAATAATTTACAGTTGTTTAAGGCATTCTTTCTATCCTGTTCTCCCCACGTGGATTAAAGCTTTTACACTTGTAAAGCTTCGCTGCCTGTTGCAGTTCTTTCATCAGTGGGCACCTTGTGCCCAAACTGGCATCACCCTGCATGACCACTGCATGGAGATCCATAGCTTCCCTTTTACTGTGCTTACAGTTCGGCTTAAATGCCATGGCAGATGGCTATTTATATAAATGAAAGAAGTCTGCTACCTACAGGTACCTATCATTTGAGCTCTTGGCTGAAAGCAAATCCTTTTCCTTTAAGCCTGACAACTAACAAGCGCCCGGTCTTGGCTCTTTTCAGACTAACTCACTCCGCACAGCTCCTTTCATTGAGTCACCATTTATAATGTTACATATCTAATTTTTATTTTATGTTTTTCCAGTTGTAGATTAGATCCCTGGAGAAGAACGTGCGGACCGATGCATTGAAATGCATGTAATTCCAGTCCAACTTACCCTTGACAGTTAGAGCCAATGGCACAAAATTAAAAAGACAAGAAACTACTGCACCCTCCTTTATAATAGGTTTTACAGTAAGCTGTCCTCCTGAATATTTAACTTTTTTTCTTGGTGTACTCTCAATAAATTAAAAGCTTTACCATGAAGTGCTGCTGGGGAAAAAAAAATGCTCAAGTGCTGAACAAACACTATGATCCATTTTCTCTGTGCTCGTATCAGTCACATGGGATTTTTTCCTTTTTTCTTTTTAATTGTTATTTTACATCAGATTAATAAACCTGTGCACTTTTTTTTATATTTTAATATTTTTTTTCTTTATATTTTACATAGTTCTATTATAGAACATGTTGCGGTTCCATTAATAGCTGCGACATGTTGATTTTTGTTTTGTTTTTTTAGTATTATCGCTTGTGCATGTTGATTTCAGTATCAGCATGATGCAGGGAATTTAACATTTTTATTTTTGGTGGTTTTCTTTTCTTTCTTTTTTGTTTTCTTTTGTTTTTGGTTAAACACTCCTTGTTGTTAATATATATAATTATATATGTTCTGTCTTATTAGCTTTTTCACTATAATATTTTTGTTTGTGTTATAATTACTGGTTTTAACTGCCATGTTCATTACAAAAAAAAAAATCCAGGGTCTGAAAATTCTGGGATTTTCATACTATATTATTATTCTTAGGAATAGCTTAATGTAACAAGGAAAAACTTGACTTCTTTGGTTAAAACAGTAATAGGCACTTGAAAAGAAAAAAAGTTTAATAAGTAGTATTACCTAAAATGTCAGATTATCCTGGTTTTTAGGACATTCAAGAATTGCTGATGAACAGAATTTTATACAACTGTACCGATTTAAATTCCAAATTGGAATTGTTTGTTTTTTGCTTTCTTTATTATCGTGCCAAATTATGGCGCACCTAGAAAGTTTAAATTCTCAACTCGATTACCAAGTGTTTGTAAGCCTTTGTTACGGATACCAGTAGTGCCTTTTATATTACAGAAGAGGGAATCTTAGACTAGCTTCGACAGGGCAAAGATTAAAAAAAAAAGGTTCTGAAATCTAATGAAAGCATACGGAGCAATAAGTGCAAATGAAACCTTAAAATAAAACGCCATCTTGCATATTTTTAGGAAATTTAAGTAGTATATATTTACACGAAAATAAAAATTGTAAAAAATTCCGTTGGTCAGTGATTCTTTTTTTTTTCAGCGCAGATCCTTGTTAATTCAGGGATTGAGGAAAATAAAGATTGCAAACCAAAACTAATAGCTTTGATTTTTCTTTAATTATTATTAACGCAAGATGTATTACTTATACATTTGTGGTGGCTGTCCACTAAATGGTGGGA